AAATGCCCTATCATACCACAAAAGTATTTGTTCAATTATGTTCATAGCTGCATTATTTGTAATAGCCAGAACCTGGAAACAACCTAGGTGCCCCTCAATAGAAGAATGGTTAAAAAAGGTGTGGAACATATATACATTAGAGTTTTACTCAGCGGTCAAAAACAATGACATCTTGAATTTTGCATGCAAATGGATGGAAATAGAAAACGCTTTACTGAGTGAGGTAACCCAGACCCAAAAAGAGGAATATGGAATGTACTCACTCATAAGTGGATTCTAGCCATAGTTAAAGGTCTTTGAGCCTATAATTCGTGATCCTAGAGAAGCTAAATAAGAAGGTGACCCTGAAGAAAATCATATAGTTATCCTCCTGGATATTAGAAGTAGACAAGATTGCCAGGCAAACTTGGGTGCATGGTGGGGGGGGTGGAAGTAAGGGGAGATGGTTAGGGAGAGGGGAGAGGGGGAGGATTGGGGATGGCTTGGGGGCTGGGGGGAGGGAGGAAGGATGGATATGGGAGCAGGGAAGTATATATCTCAACTAAGGGAGCCATTTTAGGGTTTGCAAGAGACTTGATTCTGTAGGGGTTCCCAGGCCCAAGGAGAGGTCCCCAGAATGTTCCCTGGGCAGCAGAGGAGAGGGTGCCTGAACTGGCCTTGGCTTATAACTATACTGATGAATATTTTGCATGTCACCATAGAACTTTCTTCTGGCGATGAATGGAGATAGAGACAGAGACACATATTGGAACACTGGACTTAACTCCCTAGGTCCAAATGAGAAGCAGAGGGAGGGAGAAAGTGAGCAAGGAAGGCAGAACCAGAGGGAACCTTCATCCGACAATGGATGGAGATAGAGATGGAGACCCACATTGGAGCACTGGACTGAGCCCCCAAGGTCCAAATGAGGAGCAGAAGGAGGGAGAACATGAAAAAGGAAGTCAGGACCATGAGGGGTGCGTTCACCCACTGACACAAGGGGACTGATCTAATGAGAGCTCACCAAGGCCTGCTGGACTGGGACAGAACGAGCATGTGGTCAAACCGGATTCTCTAAATGTGGCTGACATGGGGGCTGACTGAGAAGCCATTGACAATGGCACTGGGTCTTGTTTCGTCTGCATGTACTGGCTTTTTTGGATCCTGGTCTGTTTGGATGCTCACCTTCCTGGACCTGGAGGGAGGGGGGAGGAACTTGGCCTTCCCACAGGGCAGGAAACCCTGACTGCTCTTGGGACTGGAGAGGGAGGAGGAGAGGGAGTGGGGGGATCAGGAGGGTATTGGGAGGAGGGGAGGAAGTGGAAATTCTTACAAATAAATAAATAAATAAGTAAATTTTTTAAAAAATAGAAGTGATGTTGGCAATACTCAAAGAATATCTTTCTACTCCTGTAGGGACAATATAGAAACTCCCTCATAGATGTACCCAGATTCTGTAGGATATTCCTTCTGTACCGTGTAAATTTGTATTCCTCTCATTGGTTAATGATAAAGCTGAATTGACCAATAACCAGCAGAATAAGTCTAGACAAGCAAAACAGCAACACAGGGAGAAAGAATGGTGGAGTCAGGGAGATATGAGCCAGTTGCCAGAGGCACAAAATGTGCTAGAGAACTGGCAAAATGTAGAGTGATAAAAAATGTATATCAATAGAAATGGGTTAATTTAAGTTGTAAGTGCTAGTTAGTAATAATCCAGAGCTATAGGCTGAGCATTCTGTTACTATTATAAGCTTCTGTATGTTTATTTGAGACCAGGAGGTAAAAACAAAAGAAAAGTTCAGCCTCTGATTACAACCAGATATGTGTTTCCATGGTGATTCTAAATTCTATCCAAATAACAAGATTAACCATAGCGGAAAGAATAAAAGTACATCCTGAGTTGGTGTGACAATGAAATGGGAGCTTTTAAGTAGTGTAGTGAGAGCTATAAACATATACCTCTGTTAAAGTCTGTTTAAAGAGTGGGTACCCTTTCAACATAAAGTCTAATGTCAGCGTGAGTCCCAGCCAAAGGACACAGAACTAGGCGTTTGTGTTCCACTGCAGTGTTTTTCCTCCTGTCCATAACATAGGTTCAGGCTTGGCTTGTGGATCTTGAGGTAAGTTACCAATGAATTATTTCCTGGGTTCTGTATATCCATATCAATAGCCAAACTATCAACAACAAGAATAACAATAAACATTTACTGAGCATTTGCTCTTAATTATTATGAGAAACATCATAGGTACAATATTCTCATGTAATCTTCAAAATTTAGTAGACAATAACTATTCCTTCTTCCTTTTACAGGTAAGAAGGCTGATGCCAAGTATATAAATCACCAAATAATTATCCAATAAATCACACTAAAGCAGTTCTCAAGGTGAGAATCAAATTCAAACAATGGTGTATCAGAGCTCAAATTTTAGCTAGGCATTTCAACGTCCTAACTGAAGAATTAAACATAGCACATCACCACTGTAGTTTGTCAGAAACAACGCTCTGCTTCCTGCCATGCCATCTGAAACTCCAAATACAATATGTTTTCATAATCACATAATCATATGTAGAGACGATGTTGACATGAAGAACAGTTTGCTTCCAGAACACTTAAAAATAGCTCCCACAATATGCATGACAGTAGGTTTGTTAAAAGGGATTCTAACATTTCCTGCTGGAAATTAAATATATCACTCATTTAGAATGTGAACATTCGATCTCATTTGATTTTAGGGTTTTTCTGCCATATATGTCTGAATTTCAATGAAAATGTTAATTTATGCTTTTAGATTATAATATGCATTAACACTTTTACATGCTATGTAAATATGCAAGCTCTAGTGTCGCTTACGTGTAATATGTATGACTGAGGTCATAGAAAGCAGATAAAATTCTCAGTGAATATGTGTGTGTTGGGGACATGAAAACTGCCATGTCAAAGATCCCCTAAGGCCTCCCTAGGTTAGGAGCAGACGACTGGCATAGCATTATTAGATTTTACAGACAGCTGACCTTTGCTAAAACCAATGTTTGCAGGAACTGTCAATCACAATTGCTTCATCGAGGATGACTGTGACCTAAAACTGGTCTCCCATAAAAACTTCCTATCAGTGTTAGCTAGCATTTCTCTCCTCATTCATTGGTATACAATAAACCCATTTCCTCTGTCAGCAATGGATAATAGATGTGCTAGGTTTCTGGGCTGCTAGTTTACTTCCATCAGAGTGTGTGATACACCTTACACCAGTCTTTCTATGTGTTTGTCCTTTCTTTAGTCTCTTGTTGCCTCATTCAGGTCAAGTTCGAAGTTGTGCAAATCATGGTACAAAATTTTGATGCCAAAATTTTATGCTTTACTATTGAATTATATATATAATTAATATATATATATATATGGTAAAAATACATTTGAGAGCTCAAAAACTGTTAAGGTACTAAAGAAAAACAATTTAATAAAGAATTGTTCTTTTTTGCCTTCTAACCACATAATTAGCTTTCCATAGTAAACTGTATGTTATTCTCTCCCTTGTTTTCTGAAATATATGAAAAGCACTTAATAAAGTACATTAACTCACTTCTTTGAAATCTTCTACTGTCTGTGTTTTTAGAGTGACACCCATGATAGCATTGCATACTACATGGAGATAATTTATATTTTTGAGACCAATCCTAAGGGGTTCCCTATTTGTATATTCCAGATACTGGTTTTATTTTATGAATTTGATATAATTGTTAGACAGTCACTTGTGAGTGGCATTAGGTGATTCACAGTTTTTGTGCCATTGCATGTGATGATACCATGACTTCCATTACACATACATCAATCCATGCATGCATGCCTATCATACCTACAGGATAAATTCAACATATGTGAGATACTTAGTCAAAAGTAGATGTGTCTTTACAATATCAAACTGCTTTCAAAGAAATGTATCAAGTTATCAATCACTACAAGGTGTGTCTCTGTATTAGCTTATGTGGTAGCTAATTTTGATTGTCAGCTTTGGAGAAAGGAGACATGATTAAAGAAATGCCACTATATCTGTTAGGCAGTCTCCTAACTGGCATGGGAGGGCCTAACTCCATGTAGGCTCTGGGATCCTTAGACAGAGGGGCCAGAGTTGTATAGAGGGGTAGTAGCTGAGTAAACCCTGGGAAGCAAGCCAGGAGGAAGCACTGACATGCAGCTACTGCTTTCTGCTTTGTTCCTTCCTCAAACCCCTTTCTGACTTCCATAGTGGTGTGCAGTTATCTGGAGACAGAAGATGAAGCCAGCTCTTCTCCACAATCTGTTTCTGGTCAATGTTTTATCACAGCAACAAAAAACAAACAAACACATTTTGTCCTTTGATAACAGGGATGTTAGCATGTACGACGACTCCACTTAAATAAGCTGCCATGTTGCATATTACCGTAATATTGGTATATTGTTCAGGAACAAAATTTCAAAGTCTTAAAAAGCTCTAATAAACACAAGTAAAACTGTTCAGGTAATTAAAAAAAAAAACAGGCACCCCAAAATTTCTGAGAAATTTTTGTAAGAACAATCTTAATCATCAAGTATCATATCAAAACATCTTTAATTTTGACCCTCTCTTTACCTTAAACTTTTCATTTTCATAAAATTATTTCTGTTATAGGTGATGTGTAAGCATCTCAAACACTTTTCATTTTCAAAGCTTTCGTTAGAAGAATGCTGTGGCATTACCCTTCTTGTAAAGTTGTACCTACCACTAAGTTCTTGAGGATTTACAGTGCACCCTGGTTTTCTTCAAATTGCTTCACAATGCATTTCCCCCAATCTCTGTGATTTAATGATATCAACTAAAATTTTGGGATTAAAAACTCAACGACTCATCAACATTAACTAACTGAAAGTTTTATGAATCCTAATTCAAGATATATTACACAGAACAAAGAAAAACTTACTACAAATACTGGTCACGGATTCAATCGAGAGAAAACATCACTGAAAGAGAGGATTAAACAGTTCGGCTACCTACACCAAATGTCTTACCTCGAATACAAATGACAAGGATGGAAAAAGAGGCTTTAGGTGACCAAATCTGAACAGAGTTAGGAACACCAGGCAGCGAAGAGTTTCCAGAATAGCTGCCGTGGGTCTGAAAGAGCAAGTCATTAATATCGATTAGTTGTGCATACAGTGTCCTCGTGCTTATGTCAAATTAGCATAGCAATAACATTTACTTTAGATGTTCAGGACAGGCAATGTATTTTGACATACTTGAGTGGTGTGGTCCCTGAAGTGCTTTGAACACAGCCTTAACTAAGCAACAAGGTGTGTTTTTTAAGAAAAACCTGTTTTGTCAACTTATTGTTAAAGCAGTGATGAGCTATAGTGAAACAATAAAGTGTTCAACAACCAGCAATGAAGAATGTAAGGCCTGTGAGGCCCTCCTCGTAGCCCAGTGTCTTTTGATGGCTTCAGGAAAGCTGACGCAGCAGACCCATTGAAAACAATGGCATTCGGCACTAAGGTTCCATAAAACCAAACTATGATGCTCCATATTATATGGATATTTTATATTATCATGAAAAATCCCTCTTCTGAATAAAAGAAAAAAATAACAAAAGAAATTCATGTCTTGCCTTTGATCCAAAAGGAATCCAATGGATGTCAAGGTCAGGAGAATGAAGGAGGCCCTTAGAAGCAGAGTGACTTGGGACAGTGCCTGTCAAAGAAACACAGAGTTCAGCAGATCCTGGGGAGGGTCGGGGAGGGACATTAGGATCTCACACCCACATGGAAACACCGTGCACTTTCCTGCCTACCATTGTCACTGTCTGCACAAAGTGTGGATACAGAGGAATAATTGCTTTGTCTACTGACACCACCTTATCAGACACTTCAGAAGGAAATAGATAATTTCATCATGAGCTTTTGCTTAAACTGTTATTTTCTCTTGTCTCCTGTAAAACTTTGACTTTTGAAATTAGATGAAGCATCAAACAAGGGTAAGTGATTCACATCTGAGAAATAAATCTTACATTCTAGTATATATTTTCAGCATGAAAAACGCATTCTGGATTGAAAGCCAAATTTTTTTTATACAAGGAAATAAACAAAGGAAAATGTGCTCATCGGAGCTGTGCTGGTTAGTGATTTTAATTTTATTTTTTTATTCTTTTATAAAAGCTAGAGTCATCAAGAAGAGAAAACCTAATCTGAGAAAATGCCTCCATAAGGTTGTGCAGTAGTCAAGTCTGTGGGGAATATGTTCTTGATTAATTACTGATGTGAGAGAAGCCAGCCCAGTGGAGGTGCAGCAACTCTTGGGCATGGGTTCCTGAGTTGTGTAAAATGGTAGGGTGAGCAAAACATGGGGCAGAAGCCAACAAGCAGTACTCCTTCAGAGCCCCTGTTTCAGTTCCTGCCTTGGTTTCCTTCAATCCACTGTGAGACCATGGCACAGAGTATACATAAGCCAAATAAAACCTTTCCTCCCCAACATTGCTTTAGGTCATAGTATTTGTCAAAGAAATAGAAACCAAACTAAGACAGATAGAAATGAAAATGTAAGAGGAACTATACATATACACACATTTTCATGCTTCATGAAATCCACATATTCATATAAACATTTCAGAAGTTAAATTTTGATTTATTATACTAAAACCAATATTTTCAAGAATATAACTCATAAATTTAGGTAATAGGTCCAATTTCTTTCTCTCTCTCTCTCTCTCTCTCTCTCTCTCTCTCTCTCTCTTTCTCTTTTTCCTTGAAGATAGATTTTTCTCTCATACAAGCCAGCCTCTGCTCCCTCCCCTCCCCCAATCCCTCATACCTCTCCTCTCCCCCAGATCCCCTGCTCCATTATTTGGCAGCCTTCATGTCTACAGTATCGGTGCTCTGTTTAGAAAGCTGTCCCCTGAGCCAGCGTGTTCAAGGCTGTTCTCTACTTTCTCTTCCATCAGGTTTCATATCTCTGGTTTTATACTGACATATTTATTAGATCCATTAGATTTGAGTTTTGGACAGGGTGATAAATATGGCTCTATTTACATGCAGACATATTGTTAAACCAGCACCATTTGCTGAAGATGATGTCTTTTTTCTAATGTAGATTTCTGGCTTCTTTATGAAAACTTAGATATCTTAGCTATGAATGTGTGGTTTTAAGTCTGGGCCTATGAGAAGCCTGTAGCCAGAGTGACTGGATACAAGTTCAAAAACAACAAAATCAGTGGCCCTCCTACACACAAATGACAAATGAATTCGTGAGAAACCAGTAATAACAACCTTGCTGTGAAGTGCCTTTTTTGTGTATAGGTATATTCCTCATATCCCTAATCTCTCTGTGACTTTTATTATGAAGGTATACTGCTTTGCCAAAGACTTTTTTGGCATCCAATGAGATGATCATGTGGTTTTATTCTTTCAGTTTATTTATCTTGTGGATTACATTGACTGATTTCCATATGTTAAATTATCTCTGCATCTGTTGGATAAAACCTACATGATCATTTGATTGGGTTTGTAAGTATTTTATTGAATATTTTTACCTCTATGTACATAAAGAAAATTGGCTGTGATTACCTTTCTTTGGGTCTCTGAGTCTTTACATGGTTTGGTTTTAAAGGTATCTGTGGCCTTAAAATATGAATTGGGCAATGTTCCTTCTGTTTCTATTTTGTTGAATAATTTGAGGAGTATTGTCATTAATTCTTCCTTGAAATTCTGGTAGAACTCTATGATAAATCTTTCTAGCCCTGGGCTTTTGTTGCTTTTGGAAGAGTTTTAATGATTGCTTTTATTTCCTTAAAGGTTGTAGGATAATTTAAACTGTTTATCTGATTTTTATTTTAGTTGGTAAAGAGTACCTATGGAGGAAACTAGCCATTACTCTTAGATTTTTCATTTTGGTAGAGTACAGATTTTTAAAATATGTCCTTATGATTCTCTGAATTCCCTGGGTGCCTGTTGTTATGATCCCTTTTCATTCCGTGTTTATTAATTTGGATATTTTCTTTTTGCTTTATAGTTAGTTTGGACTAGGGTTTTTGTATTTGTTGCTTTTCTCAAGGAATCAAATCTTTGTTTCATTGAACTTTTATTGTTCTTTTTGTATTTTATTGATTTTAACCCTAAATTTGGTAATTTCTTTCCGTTTACTCTTCCTGGGTGAGTTTCCTTCTTTTTTTCTGTAAATTTCAGATGTTGATAATATTAGTTTTCTCCATTTTTTAATGTATACACTACATTTATTGCTATGAACTATTCTCTTAGCACTTCTTTCATTTTTTTTTTTCTAAGTTTGGGAATGTTGTGTGTAGGAAGAGGCCACGTGTTTGTTCCTGGCCGCTTAGTCCCGAAATAATCACACTGAAGCTATATTATTTAAAACACTGCTTGGTCCATTAGCTCTAATTTCTTATTGGCTAACTCTTACATATTAATTTAACCCATTTCTGTTAATCTGTGTATCGCCAAGTGACTGTGGCTTACCGGCTGCAGTTCTGGCATCTGTGTCCGATAGGGCTACTTGGCTTCTCTCTGACTCCTCCTCCTTTCTCCCAGCACTCCGTTTAATTTTCCCTGCTTAGCTCTATTCACTTATAGCTCTGTTATAGACCCAAAGCAGTTCCTTTATTCATTAATGGTAATCACAGCATATAGAGGGGAATTCCACATCAGTTGTGCATTCATTATCATTGTATTCTCAGAAGTTTTTCTTTGTCTTGCTCCATTTTTCAGTCAGTAGAGCATTGTTCAGCTTACATGAGTTTGTAAGCTCTCTGTTGTTTGGAGAAAGTTCAGAGTGGTGTTGAGAAGAAGTTATATTCTTCTCTGTTTGAGTGGAATATTCTGAAAATATTTGTTAAGTTCCTTTTGTTTATAAAGTCAGTTAGCTCCAGCATGTCTCTGTTTGGTATTTTTTGTGACCTTTCTATTGGTAAAAGAGAGATATTAAGTTCTCCCACTATCATCGTGTGAGGGTCAATGTGTGATTTAACCTGTAGTGGTATTTCCTTTAGAAATATTTATGCCCTTATATTTGAACATTAAACATTAAGAACTGAAATGTCCTCTTGGAGAACTTTTCCTTTGATGGGTATGTAGTAACCTTTCCCATCTCTCTTTTTTAATTAATTAATTAACTTTTTTTAAAAAAAGAAAACTATCTTTTTTCATTCTACATACCAATCCCAATTTCCACTTCCTCCCATCCTCCCATTCTCTCCACCTTTCTTCCCACCCACCCTGCATCCATTCCTCAGAAAGGGTAAGGCATATTGCTTTGGGGAAGGTCCAAGGCCCTCCCTACTATATCTAGGCTGTGGAAGGTATCTGTCAAAAGAGAATAGGTTCCAAAAACACTAGTACAAGTACTTGTATTTCAGTGAGTGCAATTCACCTCCTTGGATTGGGCTTTTCCTCTCCAACCTTCTGTAGGGCTGGATTTATAGATAGACATAGTTTAAATTTAAATTTATCATGTAATATCTTAATTTTTCCATTTTTGGTGATTGAAAGTATTGCTGGGTATAATAATCTGGGCTGGCATCTGTGGTTCCTTAGAGTCTACAACATATCCATTCTAGTACTTCTGACTTTCAGAGTCTCCGTTGGGAAGTCACGTGTAATTCTAATATGTCTATCTTTATATATTGCTTGATCTTTTTCTTTTTCAGCTTTTCATATTCTTTCCTCATTCTGTAATTTTACTGTTTTGATTATTATGCTAAGGGACTTTCTTTTCTATTCCAGTCTACTGAGTGCTCTGTATGCTTTTTGTATCTCTATGGGCATCTCTTACCTTTGGTTAGAAAACTTTTCTTTGATTTTTGTAGAAGATATTTTCTAGTCCTTTGTACTAGGATTCTTCCCATTCATCATTCTTATTATTCACACATTTGGTGTTTTTATAAAGTCCCAGACTTGCTGGATGTTTTGTGTCAGGAACTTTGTAGATTTAAATTTTTCCTTGAAGGATATATCCATTTCTTCTATTGTATGTATCTCCAATGCCTGAGATTCTCTCTTCTATCTTTATATTCTGTTGGGGAAGCTTGCCTTTATAGTCTTTGTTCACATTCTTAAATTTTTCCCTTCCAGATTCATTGAGTTAGTGTTCTATTTATTACTTCTTTTTCTATTTTCTATTAAATAAGCTATTTAAAAATAAGTTTTATTTGTTTCCTTGAATTGTTTGGTTGAGTTTTCCTTGCTTTCTTTAAAGCATTTTCATTACTCCAATTATTTGTTTATGTTTTCCTGAATTTATTTCCTCATTTCCTCCTTAAGGATATGTTTTATCTTTATATAGTTGGTTTTAATGTCTTTTTATTATGCTCCAACTATTTTGGAATATTGAAGATCTGTTGCGGTAGGATAGCTGAACTATGATAGTGATATACTCTCTTGTTATTACTGTGTTTGTTCTGTTCTCTCAGATTCTAATACCACCTGTAGTTTCCCCTCTCTCCATTCCATCCAGTCCTCTCCAACCATCTCCCCTGTATCCCATATCCATGCCACCTCCTTTTCCCTTCAGAAAAGATCAGGCCTCCCAAGAATATCAGATGAACATGGAATAAAAGGTTATAATAAGACTAAGCACAAACTCTCACATCAAGGCTGAATGAGGCAACCCAGTAGCAAATAAAGAGTCCCAAGTGCATTCAAAGGACTCAGAGACAACCCCCACTCCCACTGATGGGGTTCTAGAAGAATTCCAAACTACACAACCATAACATCTATGTAGAGAACCTAGCACAGACCCAGACAGGCTCCATGATTTTCATTGTCACTTAAGCCTCTGTGAGCCCCTATGAACCCAGTCTAGTTGATTCCTATTTTGGCCTTTAGACATCTGGTTCTGGAGTGATTATAGGTCTAGGTGATAATTTTTGTGTTTGTCCTAGTTGTGTGAGAGTTGTGTTTATGTTTTCTCTCTAGATTTTCAGAGAATATGTCGACTGAGTGTTTTCTGTTTAAATGGCCTGCTTAGTTGGTGTGTTCCTGGCAGAATTCTTGCTGGTGTTGGAGGCTGGGTGAAGGGTAGGTCGGGGGGAGATGGTCTGAAGGATCCACAGGAAGTATGGACAGGGGCAAGGATAAGCTTACCAAGGTATTTCGATGCTGTGCTAGGGGTGAACCTGAGAATTGGGTCTTGAGTAACAGAGAGTGGGGAAGGTCCAAGGTCCGCCTACCTGGTCTTCTGGCAAGTGTGACCTGTTGGGGCAGGGGTACTGACCCAGGTGGGGACTTGGAGACAGCAATGAGGCAGGAAGGGAATGGCAGTATAGGATGGTTTGTGGGATCCACTGGAAGCTTGCATAGCAGTGAGGGAGGCTGCAGCTGGTGTTTTGTTGTAGCACTAGGGCAGACCCTGAAAACTGGGTCTGGGTTAGTAAAGAGAGAGAGGATGTTCCAAGGGCAACTTATTCTTCCACATGTCAAAATTTAATAATAATGTTTATTGAGTATCTATTATTTCCAGTTTCCAAATTAGGTTTTTTAATTTTGTTTTTATAATCTCAATAATTATACAGTATTACAGGTGATATACATGCATACATATTCTCTGAGTTTCAAAGGGTCACACAACTTTTCCATCATCACACAGAAAAAAATAGATGGTTCCTCCCATTATGGTTTAGAGAACATGCTAAAGTAGCCTCTATTTGTATTTCCAGTATTTATTAGTAATATCATCCTATAATGAAGACCCTGTAAGGTTAAGAACTGATTTCACAAGTATTACTAAAGAAATTCAAGGGCTAAACTTGACCCAGTACTAGTTATGGATTTAGTACAGGCAGGGGAATGACACCTGCAGAATGAAACATGAAGTTTGTTGACAAGAAACTCTGAATATGTTCCACAAATTATAAAATGATGTCAGTAAGATTATCTGTGAAAGTTTAGTTTGTTGCCTCTGGCAACAACCTGCCTGAATTCTGCAGGTGAACTAGATCACAGTGCATTTTAATAGCTAAAAAAGAATACTGTTAAAATACAAGTGCAAACCATGCATTCATGACTAAATTGGACACACACACACACACACACACACACACATAACATATACGATGTGTACGTATATCCTATTACAAAAACATGTTTTTATGTGTGTGTATGTATGTATGTCAAGCAGATACTGATTTGCCTCATCAAGTCTATTTTCCTTGTTCTACAAATTTTTACCACCATATTTCTTCCATGTCTCCTGGTTTTCTCTTTCAAAACATGAGGCTCTTACAGTTGACCCACCTGGGTTCCCATTCATAAAACACATTGAATAAAAATTCCTGGCATGGTTCCACTGGCTAATTTTGGGGTATACAAATGAATGTTTGACTCAGTTTTGTATAGTCACACAGGAAGTTTTTGTATGTCAGTATTTAAAGCTAGAGTGACCAGCAGCCATGCTGGCTCATGAAGGAGACTGAGCATGAAGAGAAGGGCTGAAGAAAGTGAGGCTCTTGGTGGATGGAGCACTGAGAGGACAACAATTCCAAAGGTGTAATTGTGTGAGTCAGTAAACTCCCCTGGACAGAATCCCTGTCATACAACCAGTGGATTCTGCTCAGCACATTCAAGACCCTATTTCAAATGGAGTTATATAGTCACAGCTCAATATTAAATTATGTAGAATCTATAGAATTGTTTTAGTGAAATATTCTATCGTCATACAACTATTTAATCACATCAGATTTAGATAATGACATATCTAAATCTAATAATAATCAGTAAAACTACTTCACAGCACACATTATTTATTCATTCCACCTACTTTTGTGGTTTTCAGAAGTGTTTAAGTTATCTTAGCTTCAAGTGGAGTTCGTAGGGACTCACAGAAACTGAAAGGGTGGTAGCAGAGCCTTGTATGTGTCTGTGCTAGCCTCTCTGCATATATGTTATGGTTGCATACCTTGGTGTCCTTTGGGATTCATAACAGTGGGAGCAGAGTCTATCTTTGCCTTTTTGTCTGCCTTAAGACCCTTTTCCTCCTACTTGGTTGCCTCATGAGGCCTTGATATGAGAATTTGTGTCTGATTTTATTGTAACTTGTTATCCCTGGGAGGTGAACCCTTTTCTGAAAAAAAAAATGGAGAAGTGGATCTGAGAGAGCAGGAAGAATAGAGGAAGGGGAAACTGTGTTTGGGATGCAATACATGATATATATATTAAAATCTCAATCTCTTAAATTTAATCTGTTTATACAAATATTAATTTTATTTAGTATTTTGATTATATTAATTATGAATACCCTGACAATTGGTTCTGCAGTTATAGTTCATGTTTTGTTCTTTTTTTATTATCTTTCTAGGATGATTTTGTGATTAGTTTTGTAGTTGTCAGTTTTTAATTATTGGAATGTCATATCCAGACTTAAATTTATGTATTAGCTTGAGGAACAACTTAAATATTTTTTGTTAGGTCCCTGAACTCTGATCAGAAATCAGTTTAAAATCTATTTTTATCTGAAGTTTATCTAGAACATTGCTAGTACAAACTTTCCTTCAGTCCCGTGTGAACACTAGGTAGTTAAAATTCTCAAAAATGATCAACACTGAAAGTATACATACAAGTAACTTTAAATGTTGTCAACAGAATATATTTAGGAATGTGTATATATACATACACACATGCATATATACATATATGCATACACACATACATGTATCCTAAAATAATTAATGCAAAAAAGAAGCCTTGAATTTGAAATATAGTGGATAAGGTTTTATGGGAATTCTTGAAGGAAAGAAGAGGAAGACAGAAATGTTGTAATCACATTACAACCTCAAAAATAAAGCAAAAGAAAAAAAAGAAAAAATTCTAATAAATATTTTGTTTTCTATCTCCACAAAGCTAACTGCAGGAGTCCCAATATTCCTTTGAATAATTTTTCTTTACTAATGTTTGCTTCTATCTTCTTAAAAAATGTTTTACATTTTATTTTGGAGTCAGTTTCTTTACCCAGCTCTGCTATCCGACTGGGGCCAATCTCCAGCCTTGTCTCAACACAAGCAACTGCAGCCGCCACATCCCTGAGTGAGCTACACTCACTTATGAATTCCCTCACTCTCATTTCCTCCACATGCTCAGCTTCTTAGACAGTCTGCATATTTTGTTATTTCTTTTGTGCAGACCAGGAGATATTTTTGTGCAATTAATTCACAAATTGTAGATGGTCTATACATCTTAATATCAGATATATGCACACCTACCACATTGCAAGGAGTAGAATCATTGCTTTAAGGCACAGCCATTATTTGTCCAGAGTAACTGTAACAACCTCAACATTGCCAACTCTGAGATTATTTCCCGAAATTCTCATTTTCTTTGTAAAAGAACAAATTCTGTGATACTTTTGTCTTGTGATTATATGTTGTATTCTATCTACTCTTTCATTAGTTACTTTATTATTTTTATCTACCATTTTTGGACTCCTACACTTTTATGAAGAATATATTACAAACGTATCAATTGAGAAAAAGAAAATTGGTTAAAATACGTATTTTATCATTTGTGCAGTTTGCAGTCCATTTTTATATGCGTTTTGTTACTTTTGTTGTCTCTAGAACACAGTCAGTATAGATAATGCTTATAACCAAAAGTATGCCCATTCCTGAACTATCCATGCCTCTTAGTGCACTTATGTTTAAGCTACCACAAGTTGGGCATTATGTATATCTTTGAAAGAAAAATATAAAAGCTGGAAACCTTGCAGTGGAAATTCTCTAAACTCAGTTTATCCAGCAATTGCCTAAACATAATAGGTATCTTGAAACTGATAGAAAATATGCTGTCTTAAATATGTTTAATTCTGATTTTTGAAGTCTTTTATTTCAATTACAAAAATATCGGACAAGTCACAAATTTGCCATTTAAACTGGTGTAAAAACATTTAATTTACATTTCATATAGCAGCACTGCAATACAATTAATTTGTTTACATATAATAGTCTTGCGGAAATTAATTTTCCTTTTTAAAATGTATGGTATTCATCCAAAATGAAAGCAATTACGAAGAAAAATAGAGCATAGTCACTAAGGAAGAACGTATTTTAATTAAAAACTTGATGAATATTTTTCACATACTATATTTAAAGTACCTACCTCCGTGTTTGCAAAGGTCTCTTCGTAAAATGACAGCATCACCGCAAACTGCAGGACGGTGTACATTTTTAATTGCAGGGATGCTGCTGATGACAAGGGGACCTCCTGTCCTGTAACCTAGGTAAACCAGAAGGACGCTTTTCTTTACTTTGTGTCATGGCTCATCTCTCTTGCAAGAATTCACACTTTAGGAAAGAATGCGTCCCAAAAAATGCTGTTTTCCGTCTTTGCTCCAGAAGGTCTCAGACATTCATTTCCTTGACTAGAAAATTGTCTGAAGATTAAAAGACTTGGTTTTTTTGATGCATAATATTTTGCATTCTATCTATGATTTAGTCTTCCTTAAATGGAAATATTACAGTTTCTTCACATATATTCAGGATTGCAATAGCCAAGAGGTATACACTAGAATCTCTCATGTCTGAAAATATGTCCAGCAACATGCCAAGAAAATGAAGTCAAATGATTCTAGGCAGCATAGATAACTATGATTCAACATCAAGTAGTAATCTATTGAAACAACTTTCTTAAACTACTTAGATTTCCAGAAGTACCATACTGTGCTTGTATTTAGATAAAGCAGATGTAGGCACTGATATAATTTAAAAACACTTACTTTGACTATTCTGTTGAAGACAGAAAAGTAAAACCCTCTTTTCTGGGCAATTTAATGGAGAAATAATAAAAGTATTTTTTACTTCTATCAAGCTGACTAACGACAACTAATTAAGAATGTAAAATATATGTGAGTAATTTATTTAAAAACAATAAAATATTATTCAGATAAAATTGTTCTTTATGATATCACATGATTTTTTTTACCTAAAATGCCATCTTGCAAATGACAATCAACTCTTCCTCTTGTGTCTGTACTTGTATTTGTGACCTTCATTTGATAAATAATCATAAAATAGATGACGAACAATTGAATAGAAATCATCTTTTCCTCTGTCGTGAACATTACTTACCTCTGGAATTTCTTCACTCAGGCCAAGTCTTGGTTTACCTGGACCCCAGCCTGGTCCTTTAAATAGGACAGACACCTTATGAAAGAATCCAGGTGTGGCCCAGAATGTATTCCATATATAGAGTAAATGGTGAAACTAGGGAAAAATGTATATATTGATATGTAATCACATTATTTGTTTTCATTAATTCTATACATTCTATATATCTTTGGTGTTTTGTAAAAATCTTAAGTTAAATTGCAATTTTAAAATGAAAAGTGTATAATTAATTACAAAATCATAAAAATAGAGTAAATAAGTTATGAGGTACATCAAATAAAATCAGCTAGCTTCTGTGAAGGCAATGTCCTTGTCTATTGATTCCTTTCTGACATCTTACTAGGTGGATATTGCGGTTAACTAGAGGCATCATAAGACTGCTTATCCAGATATTTTTAAAGCAATGATTTATTGTGTTACTAATATGGTATTAACAAAAGATATTCACAGGCATTTCAGCTTGTAGTGTTCTAAGTATCAAGTAACTCATATTTAGTCCCAGAAATGGGGTTGTGTGACTGCAGGAGACTTTTACAATGAGTGCTACAGCAGGAATATGCATTCTTTAAATAACATTCATTTGACATTCACAGAAGTTAAAAAACATGCTCACATGTAAGTGCTCAATAAATTTTAACTATAAGGAAATTTCACACAAGTGCCCATAATGCACCATAGGACTAAACATATTCATAGGATTTGAGCATCAACTCCAGACTCTAAATGTGAGGGTTTTTTTTTTTCAAGTATAGAAATGCATTAATGGAAAGAAAAGCTTTTGCTCTCAGAATTTGTGATCATGCTGGTATTTTAGCAGTCAGTCCCTGGATGAATTTAAATTGCTAAGTTTAGAAAAATGGATTTTATAATTACTTGAAATATTCCAAGAATCAGCCTGAGTTATTATAGGGCTTAATGGGAACGTTTCTGAAGACAAGGTAAATGTTAGATGGAGGGTTAGCCTGGGGATTTTCAACACTAGTAATACAGAAAATTAGTGTGTTTAGAACTTCCAACACACATTAAAATGCTAAATCATTTGGTTATTTTGCAAATTACTTCAATTTTATTTCTGCAATCCTGGATACTAAGCATGAGCGATATATCATAGTAATTTAATGACATTTCCCCAATTTACTTGGTTTCCAATCCCCAGGAAACTTTTGGGTCTTTCAAAAGAGAAAAGAGTGGTCTACACCTAAAAAAGCAAGTGTATCGCTGTGTTTAGTGGGGAAGATTCTAAGTCCCTTTGTGGGTAATAAAATCCTAGGTAAGCAATTTAGCTGTATTCAAAGGGAAATCACTGAAAATCTGATTTCAGTGATTTGTATGCTAAAAATTTGTATTTGTTTGTTTTTTGTATGTTTTTGTATTTGTTATGTTTTTTGTATGTTACAAACTCTTAATTATCGTAAGTTGCTGACTTAATCTTTCTGACTAAAATGAGCACATAGGAGAGTAAACCTTTGAGCCACACATGACAACTATCATGCTGAAGAAAACGCTTTTAAATGTAGTTACCTGGAGGCTTAATTCTTGACTTAAATGTGCTGTGGCTCAAAAATGCCTGTCATTGTCCACTTTGGCATGTAGCAATTCCTATCCGTTCAACTACTGTGTGTAGTGCTTAGAATATTCATTCACTAGTCTTTTCTCATGCACCACCCTCCCATTCTCAAAAAGTGTACATTCCCAAAGCCTCGCTTCCAAAGGTGTTAAGTAACCAATGGTAATACTGACATCCCCTATAACCTCTCCGGCATCGTCCACAGTGCTGCTGGATAGCATCTGCCCTTTACAAAGATGGTCTCAGGAATCACATTGGCATCAGTCTTGTAAAGCTCCATCCTAGATATTGAGGTGGGCTTTTACATGTCTCTTTCTCTATTCATGTTAAGGAGAAAAAATCTACCTGAAGTTAAGGGAGTGGGTCTTTCATGTGTATTTTTTAAATCGGTTGAACATATTTATCATGTGTCTCCTGAAAGACACATCCTGTTGTGAGTACAGTCTGGGGTAGAGATGGAAATAGAAGTGCCATGTAGTAGAAAATATGTGTCTGTACATCCGTATGTTTACATATGTATACGCACATCAGCAATTTTCTTTTCAGTTGTGGATATACAGCAGTGACTTTCACTACAGAAAGGCTGGCATTCGGACCTAACTGGTGTGTGAGCCACAGTCAAGTAAGTAGAAGGAAATGAAATAAGTGAACCTGAGTCTTGGATTCCTAGGGCAAATTTGTAGCTGGCGATTGAATCTGGAATTATTTAAAAGCTGTAGATAATTCCTTTGTCTCAGTGTTCTCTGAAAACTTAAGTAGGTTTGCAAAGCAAGCCCAACGGGAGCCTTTGATTTTGTTACTTCCAGGACGTGCCAAGCAGCCTCGTTCGTGTACAGGCCTGTCACTGACTGACAGCCACAGCTTTTAGAGCATTCTTATCTTTTCCTCATTTGTGATTCCTTAACCCCAGGAGCCTTTGTGGTCACCTGATGTTGACACATTGGAACTCGGCAGACATTCTTCATTTCTCTAGTGCCAGCCACTAAGGCCAGTGAACAAGCAATACCACATGTCTGAGGGAAAATTGGCCTGCTCCACCAAGTCTTAGCAGGAGAGGTAACACGTGGACCTCACTGATGGATAATACCCCTTGACACTCAGCTCTAAGACGAGAAGGGTAAAGGCCTCATGCTGAATTTCTAACCAGAGGCTGAAAACTTGAAGCAAATATTTTTCTTACTGTAGGATCAGCCTTAATTACATGTTGCACCACTGTTCCTGAATACATGAATATATTTGAGGTCTATTCTGAGAAAGAAAAAAACATGTTTTTTAAAGATCCGCTCTTTTTGCATTTGAGGTAGAAGACTTATTTGAAAACTCTTATAATGAGTTTTAATGGATTTTGCTTATCTGACTCGTATCACTTAACTGGTAAAGCTATTTCAAATTCTTTTATATGTAAAATATTTTTTCACGGCAATGTAATGTGCTTCCACCTACAATAACTGTTTTCCTTTTAAACATAAAATGTGTGAAATTATATGCATTCAGGAAGAAAAACGCTGAATGAATTACCTGAACTTTGAATGGCTCAAATGTATCAATGGGATGTGTTAGACCATATATAACCTGTTCATTCTCAGCTTCAAATGTCCCTGGAAGATAAACATTACAATATGATTATTGATTTTTTTATGACTCCCAAGGCAGCTAATTTAACTCCTTTGGGAGTTGCACATCTTACTTACCAAACAATTTATCCCAAATAATAAGAGTGCCAGCATAGTTCTTGTCTATGCAGTAACGATTTCTGCCTGTGAGACAAAATAGTAAGAATAATTTTTTAAGTACATGGAATTGAGCTTTTGAAACATTTTTTCTCTTGTTTTTAAAGCATGCAAGAACAATTCGAGCAACGAAGTGACTCTAAATATTTCTTCTTCCAACTTGAAACAAATAGCCAGAAGCAATTGGGGAGAAGGGAGAGTACCTAGGGAAGACAACGATTAGTCTTCCAGTGCCAAATAGTCTACATTGAAGCACACAAGTAGCATATTCCAGAGTGAGCAAGTTGTATTTAAAAATGTGCATACATATACATCACATATTTCAGAGAACCACATAGTTGCCCTGGCCTAGCTGCCTTGACAGACACGTGACATAGATTTCTTAGGTTAGAGTCCACGACTCCTGGGGCCCAATGTGCCTTCCACTTCCTGAGAAACCAAAACACCCACTTATGCAGTGAGGCAGGCAGGCTGCTTTGAGTTTCTCTGTGTGATTTCTTAGTAGTCAAGCAAGCATGGAATCTTGACAGGCCACTTAGTCTTAGACATCCATCTTGTCTACCAGGTATAGCTTGCAAACTTCCTGTATCCTGGCAACTACAACTCTATTGGTCCTGGCCATTGCAATTGTATTCCATTTCTGATAAAAGATCTAATTGCTCTCAATGAAATTGTCACAGTCTCAGATGTGACCTGTCAGGTGACCTTGGCCCAATAATTCAGCACAGGCTGAATTATTTTATAATATCAAATTTTATAATATGAAAATTTGAATTTTATGTCCTGGCAATGCTGAAGCATGCATGGGCAGCCCATATATGGCGGTTCTGTTAAACTTTTCCATATTGGGTTTCATGGTCTAAGTTGATGAGGACAGCTGACCAGGTATCTTCCTCAACCAGGTCTCTTCCTCAAGCTTACAGTATATATTGTATAGTATATATCAAAAATATATAGAAGCAATAGTAGTTAGCAAAAAAGGAGATTGTAAATCTGAAGAGGAATGGGGAGAAGAATGTGGAAGGGTTTGGAGGGAGAAAGGGAAGGGTGAATGTTGTAATTGCCATATCAAAAATTAATAAACAATCTTAGATTCTATTAATAGTCTCATTTTTACTATTTTCTAGTTAAATGTATTAAAGAGATAAAGGTTTTATTAATTTATGCACATTTTTCCAATGTTTTAGTTAAATGTCTAGATATAATCACATAGCTGATTTTATAAAACTAATGAATCATTGAAATTCACATTATTTGGAAGAAAGTAAAAGGGGTGAGCTAGAAATAGATGTATCTGGGGTTTGAGCAATGGTGTAGCTGTTAAAAGCACTGGCTGTTCTTACTGAGGACAGAGGTTCAGTCCCCAGAACCCACAGTGGCTCACAGCCATCTACAAATGCAGTTCCCAGGCATCTGACACCCTCTCCTGTTTTCCAAGGAGACTATATGCATGTGGTATACAGGTGTACATGCAGACAAAATACCCCCATACACACAATTATAACAATAAAAATAAAGTTTTTTAAAGGAAGTGTATGTGTTTGCTTTTATTTTGTTTTTGATGCTATTTTTAATCTTGCTCTCTGCTGATGTTTCAGAAAGAAAATTAGAACAATATTACACTATTTTAACAATAAAAGGCATAATTAAAAATGAAATTACTCTTGGAATTACAACTTTGAGTAATATGTTAATTTTTCAGCTCCAAAACATACAAATTACGATTTAAACTTAATGCAAGGAACTGGCAACGATTTTTACTTTACATGTTTTGAAACTTAGATAGGCATAATAATATAAATGTTACTAAATCCAAAGGAAAGAAGTTTTAATATAATGAACCGTGTATCTCCATTCGTGAAGACTTTTTGTGTATGCACATGTGAGAACAGGACAGAGAGTTTACATTTGATCTAACTGGTTCTCCACCAAATGTGAGAGTGCTTTGCCCCTAAAGGGATTGAAGATGTGAAGGACATCACAATAAGAGGAGGGTACATCAAAGCAGGCGTCAGTTAGAGCCTCTGCTAAGCGCCCTACAGTGCCCGGACAGCTTTCACCACAATCTTGGTCCCAAGTACAGGACACGCTAATGCTGACTAGGTCTGCCTGCGGTCTGGAGAATGGTGAAGGAGAGGTAAAGAAGAAGAAATGAAGTTGTTTATTTTTCAGTGTGGACTCCCCTTCCAGATTTTTCTGTTTATGTGCCGGAATCCACAAGAATCTTACACTCCCTCGCTAACTGCTCCCCGGGGACAGGAGATGGCTGAGTTTGGAAGCACTAGACACAACCTCCCCTGTGCTGTTGTTGTGGTCCAGGCCAGGGAGAGAGACAAGTTTCCCTCGAGAAGGCTACCCTGTCGTGTTCCAAAGCTGCCGGTGAAGGCAGAGGTTCAGACCAGCAGACACACAGTGTTCATTCTTTGTCTTGTGCCCTTGGCATTATGCCCCTAAAATTTAAGATTTCCGTGCCAGTGTACGCGGAAATGACTGGGACAATCTCACAGCTATGTGGTCTCCAAACATGTAGAGTCTACTCCATATTTATCTACACTGCGGTTCACACACACTCCAAGTTTACCTTTATTTTCCCATCACGATGATTCACTTTCTTAATGGTTCCTGTGGTGCCCAAATAAAACACTTTGATTTTCCCTAAGCTTGGTGTCCCTGCCTTAGGTACCAGCCCCACAGAGTCTTCTCAACAGGTCATTGCGCATGTGCTAAGTTAGGTAGTAAATTTAGCAGAGTGAAGCATTGGTTATCAGTTTGTTTGTTTGTTTGTTTTTTCAAATCTCAATACTCATTTTTTTAGGTTTTTAAAAGAAGCTTGCTTCTGTTTTTCTGTTTTTTGATTTTGTGATTGGCTTATCTTTTATTTCCTGTAGTACACATATTTCGAAAATAAAAGCTTCTTTCTAATCCCAATATTTATCAGGACTAACAATTCCAGCGTAGACAGGGCAGCTTCCCAGCACTGTGTCAGAGTATCCTACAGAGGAATCTTTCAAGATGTGACCATTCCTATCTAGCTGCCTGGCTCACTTCCCATCTACAAGGAGATAAGATGGGAAGCCGTTGAGAGAGGTCACTTCTCAACTTTGAAGCTCAGTCTTCTCTGAAGAGGAAAGGGGAAACAATAATTATTTATACAGCACCTCATAGTGCAAGGCCTGGATCTGCTTAAGTGGCACAAAAAAGACACTGCAGTTTTTAATGAAACGATAAATGCAAAACCACAGAACTTTCTTACCATGATGAACCCTGTGGTGGCTGGGAGTGTTGAGGACCAGTTCCAAGGGGCCGAGGCTTCTGATGACCTGTGCATAATAAAAGATAGCCACATACACAGTTACCCCTGAGTATGCCTACCTCTTGCACAACCACACGGCAGTCACATGGGAGATGTGGTACAGAAAGTTTCAAGCTCATTCTATCTACCCCTGTCCATCCCAGAAGGTGGTACTCATCAAACAATTCGAGATACGGTATGACAGTCACAGACTTGACTGACTCCCAGATTCCCACGGTTTACTGTGTCATCCCAGGAAAACCAGTAAAGTTCTTTGTCATTCAGTGCCTGCATCTCTAAAATAAGAATAATATCAGTGCTGCAAAATAATGTAATTCCAGACTTCTAAATGTGACTGTATCTTGCATTCACTGTGGTTAATGGGAAAACAGTCACTATCGGTCATGACATTCAATGAACAGGCAACATGTCAGAGGCACAGGGAAGGAACAGGATGATGGACTTAAAAGCCTGAACTGCTTATGACATAATGACAAAATGGAACAGGGGCATATTATTTGGATTTTTATTTGAGACAAAGCAACAATCTTAAACATTACCGTGTAGGTAATCAGAGGATTAGTAGCTAAACCCGTATGAAAGTGCAATTTTACAATAGCATCACTGATGAGATCTAGACTTTGCTTGAAAATACTTTGGCAATGAAAATTGAAAGAAAAATAGAATATTTGACAGAAATGAATTAAAATCTCTGCTTAATAAAAGCAACATACACAACTATATAACTCTTTCTACTTCTCTGAATTCCTGACAAAAATGAAGGTAGCAATTTATAAATAAGAACTTAGAAAAGAATTTATAATCTATAAATATATAGTGATGTATATTAGCCAGATGAAAGCATTAGCAGATGTCCAAACTCAGAAATAAACTTGCATTTATTCATTTATTTTATTTTTAATTATGCATATCTGTGTGTTTCTTAGTATGGCTTATGCATCTAAGTGCCATGCCCAAGTGCATCAGATGAGCCCTTGGAGATGTAGTGACAGTTTTCAGTTACCAAACAAACCTGGGTGGAGGGAACTAAATCCAGGACTTTGCAATATAGTACATGTTCTTAACCACTCAGCCATATTTCCAGACCCAGAAACACTTCCTAATGGAAATTCTTCATTAATGAGGATGTGCTTTGCTTTATTTTATTAATCTCTAATTTTAAAATCAGTTCTGTGATTGTTCTGTAGATATAAGAAGCAGGGGTGGCTCACAATATTCTGTACTTATGGTTTCACCTATCCTCTTGAAACTGAAGATATAACCTCATTGGCAAACAGCAACCTATACCATAACACAGGCCTCCAGATGGTCTCCCTATTGTCTGTTATTTACAGGCCTGAAATGGAGTCCTTGCCTTCACCTCTGCTGCTATTTCCACAGGGTTTTTTGGTTTCTGTCTGAAAGGGCAGATATCTGCATGCAAACGAATGAGAATAATTACATGCCACGTGCAAATTTAGATTTTTCTCTATTCCTCCATCCCTTTCCCGGTTTCTTCCTTTCAGTGTCTCTCCAGCTCTGCTCACTTTTCCACAAGGTTATTAGATGACAAAGATGTTATATTTAGATTTACAATGGTGACGTCCTTGCGTGTGAATAGAATTACAATGGTGATTTCATTGGCTGTAAATGGAGTTATAATGGTGCTGTTATTGGGTGTGAATGGAATTACAATGGTGCTGTCCTTGGGTGTGAATGGAGTTACAATAGTGATGGCCTTCGGTATGAATGGTGTTACAATGGTGAAGTAATTGGGAGTGAATGGAGTTACAAGGGTGCTGTCATTGGGTATGAATGGAATTATGAGTGTTGTCCTTGGGTGTGAATGGAGTTACAATGTTGGTGCCCTTGGAGTGTGAATGGAGTTTCAAGGATGATGTAATTGGTTGTGAATGGAGTTACAATATTGGTGCCCTTGTGTGTGAATGGAGTTACAATAGTGATGTCCTTGGGTGTGAATGAAGTTACAATGGTGATCTCCTAAAGTGTGAATGAAGTTTCAATGATGATGCAATTGGATGTAAATAAAGTTACAATGTTGCTGTCCTTGGATGTGAATGAAGTTTCAATGGTGCTGTCTTTGGGTGTGAATGGAGTTACAATGATGGTGTAATTGGGTGTGAATGGAGTTACAATGATGATGTCTTTGGGTATGAATGTAGTTTCAATGATGATGTAATTGGGTCTGAAGGGAGTTACAATATCCTTGGGTGTAAATTGAATTACAATGATAATGTAACTGGTGTGAAATCCATTTGACTTTTACAGATGTATTGCTAAGAACTGTATGAAGAAACATGTCCAGCTCCTCCTCTTCCCTTCTCATCTCCTTCCTCCTTCCCTCCTTTTCATGATTCTTTCTTTTTTCCTTTCATTCACCTGTCTTTCCTGTCCATCTATCTTTCTGTTTTTTTTTTTTTTAATTTCTGTTCTGGGGTAGTGGTGGGGTGTCCTATCTACCTATTTTCTGTTTTTTTTTCTAGAAGAAATGTATTTTAATCTCCAAATCCATCTCCCTTTCCCTATCAGAATGGTGGAATTCATTTGGATATCAAGGATTGTGGTTTCTTACTATTAATCTCAACACTGTCATGTACTTTGAATCTATGTCTTGTATTTTTTACATTATAGCCCTCCAAAATAAAGCTTAAAACTATTGTCTCACAAATATACTGTTAATCACAGGGTTTGAGAAGGAGCAGTGTGTTGTATTACTTACAGCCTATCACTACATTATGGTCTACTGGTGGGAAACTTTGTGCACAGAAGGGTGGTTGGTGATGGCAGATCGGGAGAGTGGGCTCCTCAGCCTTCAGAACATTACCAACTGATGATTTTGGTCCGACTTTTGGTCTCCGGCAGAGAACCAGATGGGAAAGGAGAAAGCCATTTTACCCATGTTTGTCTCTCTCTGGTGCCTAACATTTGTTACAAAAACAAACAAGAAGAGGGGTGGAAGGGACTCCACTAAGTGGCTTCTGCTGACCAGATGGGTTTCTGAACTCCAGTCCTGGCATGTGTGCAACCGGATCCAAAGCCACCCGAGTGAGTGGCTTCAGATGCCTGGAGTCTGGGCTTTGTGGTGCTTTTTTTTTTTTCTTATGACAAGTTCTTTTCTTTAGAGAAACCTTTTGCTCCGTTAGGCCAAAATATAGTGGTATCAATATCGAAAGCTCCTTTGAAATTTCTTAGGTAAAAGCCAAGTATGACACAGCCAACCACAGTTAAATTCTCTGGTACTGTGCCTATAAGTACTATGGAGCTGAGGAAGACCACGACAGGGCAGATGACTCATCGTTCAGACAAACCCATCAGAAGCTCCCATGTAAAAAAGCTCTCTGATTCAAAGTCATGAAGAATTCATTAATATTTAATAAGAGCTGAGCGTAATGATTTAATTATCGCCCACTTTTGCAAATTCAGCCATTTAGCAATTCTACCACATCTAGCTGAAACTCAACTTCCTGAAAACATGTTAGTTACTCTGGGAAAAATTGGATCTATTCTAAGTTTGCAAAAATGTTGTCCTCATGTATTAGATTTAAATGAGTTATCTGAAAATGCAAAAATCTATTATGATAGGGCTTAAATATGGTGCAGGTCAATTTTCTATCATGAACAAGAAAGCATCAAAATGTGAAATTCTAGGAGCTAAGTCACTCCTCTACATTTTAGAAAGTTAGGATAAGCCATGTGTGTTATTCTATTGGTTTGGTCCCTTTAAGGGGAAAGCCACACCCACTTCCAGCCACTTCCAACCTCCTGGTCGCCATCTTAACCTCTTCTATCCCTGTCTCTCAGTGTGTGCACACGTGTCTTCTCTGTCTCTATGTTTTTATGTCTCCATGTCTCTCTATTTCTGTCTCTCTGTCTCTCTGCCTCTTCTTTAAGTAATAAATGTTTAGCTTTATGTATAGTCTTATGTCTATTTTCTCCGCCATCTGCCGCACCCACCCGCCTGACTCGCCTGGTCGCATGGCAGGACCAGCCTGCCACCCTGGAGATCTTACAGGGACCCACAGCTGTCCTTGTCGGACTAGCGGCTGCTCTGCGAGCCTGCCAGGGAACATGCCAACATTAATCAACAACAATGTGGTCTTTCTAATATCACTTGAAAAATGCTTCCTTTTTTTTTTATCTTACCTCTGTTAAACACATAGAGAGTGATTTTCCATCAAGTAAAATGAATTTAAACCCGTCTAACCCTAATAGGAAGGGACAACTAATTTGACTACATCAAAGTGAAAATAATTCCATTTATTTATAAAGATTTAAGCATTTACAAAGGTTTTTTTGCACCAGGTGTATTTCTTAGGTTTTTAAAGCGATACACTTGGTCTTATAATATTTTGCTTTAGGTTTTCTGATCTGAGCTATATGGGTAGTCAGAAAAGCCATGAGAAAGCCTCAGAAGGTCAGAAATACTTAGATGTTTTGTATCAAATTTTATGATTATTATTCTGGTGAGGAAATTTTGTTTTTATCATAGACTTAAAGGGAAATATAATTTTTTTAATATTAATAACAAAGTCCCACACCTAAGCAGAGATGACCATGGTTATTTTTTATGCCCTTCCTATTTCTATTTTGCTGTTTGTATCCACATCATTAAAACTTGGGTATGGATTTCTTTCCCAGACTTAAAAAAATTTTGATTATTCTTGAAATAATTAGTTCTTCTAATAAGACCATTATGTAGATCATGTTCACTTGCAGAATAAGAAATTATTAGTGTGTAGTTAGCAAAAATTAAGGGTTTTGCTTGATAGGGAATTTCATGATGTTACAGATCTGACCCTGTCCATCAGAAGAGCTCTGGGTCATTTGCTAGACTCATTACACGGGCTCCTTCCTCTAACAGCCGCTGGCTCCTTCCGTCACACTGCAGTTTGTATTAGGACTGGTAAAGTGTTGGATACAAAATCAAGTGATCAATTACCATGCGATGCTGTCATTATACCTGCATAGCATTTCCTTTCACTAAAAACACATTTCAAGGTCTTAATT